TGCTGGGATATTTTGATAACTSACTGCTGGGTTAAAGCTGTTGGTTCATAGGTTGGGTCCCATCCATCCATTTTTCCTCCCCTGCGTTTTCCATTCTGGGACTCCAGAGGTTTATAGATTGACTTGTTTGATAAAATATTGGGTCAGAAAGTCTGACCTGGTGGTTGAGTCAGAGATAAGCCATGTCATTCTTCACAGTCTGCCATTTTGAACCAGAAATTGACCGAGTCAGACATGACTGGACCTCTGGCTTTAGGAAATGTGGGACCGTAAAAACAAGTTGTAAGAAGATGTTTAACCTGGTTGACTTTGTTAAAAGCTTTAGGTTTTTTTTTTTGTTTTTTTTTTTTGCCCTTTAGCAAACACCAACTGAAGTCATAGTTATCTAACAAACCCTGGTTATAGCTCTAACTCAACAAATTAGTCATTTTAAACCATATTTTGAGTAGAAAATGTTTCCTAGTATGGAAGAAAGGGGTCTCTGCAGTCAATAAGAGAGAGTGTCTTGGGTGTGGGCGTAGTTTGGGTAAACTGTGATTGCAATGTTAATTTGACTAATATTTTAATATTTATATTAAAAATAGCAATCGCAGGCGGGTCAGAACTGTTTTCACTGAGCTAATTGTTACATGTCCCTCACATGTTCAGCTTTCACCTTCCTGTCTCGAGTTGCGGYTAAAACATCCATGAAAATAGCTTCTGATTGGTTACAGTTCTCCCCAGCTTCCTGAACCCAAACTATGTCCACACATCARTCACAGTTTACCTAAAACACGCCCACATGCATATCCAACCAATCAGGATTTACCTAAACCACGCCCACATATCAGCCTGACCGATTACAGTTGATCCAAACCACGCCCACATGCCAATCCAACCAATCAGTTTATTCAAGCTACGCACACACATCAATCCGACCAATCACAGTTTACCCAAACTTTGTCCACACATCAATCACAGTTTACCTAAACCACGCCCACACATCAATCCGACCAATCACAATTTACCCAAACTATGTCCACACATCAATCTTACAAAGTTTACCTAAGCTATGCCCACACATCAGTCTGACCAATCATGGTTTATCCAACTATGACCTCTACTTGTACTGTGCTGCATCAGTCTGAACACTCGGCCTCACTGAGGTCCAAATTTGAACCAGTCTGTGTTTTAAKTTGTTGTTTTTTAACMCATAAATTTCGAATCAAAGTTGTTGTTTTTATTTTTGAGCCACCTTACTCTGACCAGTGAAACATTCAGKAATAATACGGCTAAAATTTCCACATAAAAAAGATAAATGTGGGGTTTTTTTGGCTTCTTCTGTGTTTTTTACCTATTTTGAGCTGTTCTTATAGAGAGTAAATTATTTCAACATTTTTGTTTGAATTTTAAAAACCCAAAATAATGCTAGACTGGAGCAGAACAGACGAAACAGCCTGTGGAGAAACCCGCAGCTTGTTAGTGTCTTCAGTACCACTGGGTTCCATCTAATGTGTTTCTGCCAGTGTAATTATGATTGGCATGCACTTATATCTTTGTGTTGAACTGGTTCGAAGGATGTGGCAGCAAGTCACCAAAAGGCTTGTGGAAAGCGTGACAACCAGTCAGAAAGCTGTGTCCGCATCCTGTCTGCAGATGTCCGCGAGGGCTCTGCTGATGCCTCAGCTGACCAGAAGCCAGAGGCAGAGGAAGAGGAGAAATGACCAAGCAATCACTCAGCTGCAGACATACTGAGTGGTCCCGCATGGCTGCCACCCGCAGCGTAATGAGGGTTAGCAGGTCATGCTGCCTTTCTCGTTGGGACAGAGAAGACCCGTTTTACATTTGGAAGCCAGTGAGCACCCATGTTTAGAGACTAAACAAAAAGTCATCATCCTCACCCTCAGAGCTAATCAAGATGGTAGATGTGTGCTGAACTGCCTTGTGGGTGAGGGGGAGGGGCGGCTGGGGGGGAATCCCATAAGGAAGAAGAATCAGCAGTCACTTAGGTCCCATTTTCTTGAAAAACGAGACCTTCCTCGATGACTCATTGTTTGGTTTAAGTAGACAATTTTTTAAAAAGTCATTATAATAATGCTTTTTAATTCCATTTTGAAATAGATCACTGTCAAACACAAGCATTTACCGCTGCCAAAGTGCTTTGGCAAACAGCACAGTTCAATAACCCAGCCTCTTTGTACTTGTCTGTAATTGCATATATGGATTCAAAAAGGATAATTCTTTTTGTGGGGGGAGGGCATAATAATTAGCAGTTAGTTGCACCTTTCATGATATAGCCATGAGGACAACCCCCTCTCTATTCTGCCTTTACTCGTTCATAAATTCACCKATCAAGTCATCCTGGAACCCATAATGTGAGTATAGAAATGAAGCTGCTATCACAGAGACATTGGAGGTATTGTGTATAATTCATTGGTGCTGGACAGTAGGCACTGGGTACAAATGTGTGGCAGATATCCTCCTATTTTCTACCCCTCAGCAGGCTGGTCACACAGACGGTCATTATCCCTTCACACCCCTGAGGTGCAACGCAAGCTCACTTATATCCACAGTTTTAACTCCATACCTTCCTTAGTGGCTCAGAGGCGTAACAGCATCAGGTTGATTTTAAATCATTTCCTGCTCACTGCTTCATGGCAAAGTCAACCTAACAGCTGCTCACAACATGAGCCGTTCATAACATCTAAAATAACTAAAACAWTTTGATTTTAGTCAACTTTATTATTGTTTACACCCCGCTACTTTTGCATGAAACTTATTTTCTCAACTATTTTCTCAGCTGAACAATGTTTGTGTTGCACTGTCTACACAGACTGTTCAGTGAATTGATAAAACTACCTCATACAAAGCTGAATCAGTTTAATAATATGGCATTTTGTCAGAAATAATTTGAGCAGTTTAAGTTGGTGAGTAGGTATTAGCTTGCCTCCCCCCTACGTATATATCTTACTGATTCTCCAAACAAAGATCACTAATGGTTGTCTACTTCAAGTAAGATACTGACTACTTGTGAGTACAACCACACTTCATCAAACAAAGCATCCCTTTAACAGAATCACACAAAAAGAAATATCTTTCATGTTACTTTATAGGAGTAGATGTTGGGAGGCATCTGTTTTTGTTTCATTATAAAAGCAATGAGGATGACAAACTGCCCTTTGCTCTTCAAGCCTGCAGCTAACGACCACACTCAGRTAAACTTGAACTCGTCAAGGCTGCTGTCACATTCCAAAGAATGTCAGCGTAATTAATGCGAAAGTGTATCATGTGTAAATATCACGCCGTTAGTTATCACGCACGACAACGGGTGAAGCTGCTTCTTGTTTGTTATATTAAATAAGCAGGTGGACTGCAAACATGTCTATGAATTAGCCATTCTGCAGCTCTTTAAACATATCAAGTGTGAAAACTTTCAGTTCTGCAGAGTCTGTKATCGGAGAACTCAGTTTATCTTCAAAGCCAAAACACGTTTGTCGCGTCGCTTTTGGGAGCTCGTCATAAACAGTCCAGGTGTTCTGCAGGACGTTACAGAGCATTATTTGTAAATGATCTATATTTGACTTTTTTTAGTTCAATTCCGAATCATGCATGTCTGCACTGAATAATAGATTAGAACCTCCACCCCTGCTGGAATCTTTATGCGTCACGTTATTGTAGCTCTGCAACAGAATAAAAAACATTTATTAATTACTTTGTTTTGTTGTGTTTTGTTTTGTTTTTTTTTCTTTTCATCTGTTTGTAGATTGCTCTTAAACGAGTATTTTAGTCTCAGTGAAGCATCGTCCTTTAGCTTTCCTAACACCCAAACAAAATATCTCCAAAGTGCTGAGGGCATCAGCTTTTGTCAGGGACAGAGAGCGCCTGTAATTACTGTTTTTACTGGTGTTTACTCTGCAGGATCAGACCCACAGCCACATTTGACACTGTTCAGTCTGTTAAATGTCAGCGGATTCAAAGTGAGTGAAGGTGAACCGGGCTCCTGCAGACTGTAGCTGCAGCAGGACTGATGGGTTTTTTAATCATTGCTTTAATCGTTATTATCAGTGGTTTATGAGATATTTTGCTAACAGATGCAGCTTATTACATAACTGACTCCMTGTTTGCTCATGTTATTGTGAAGGGTTTGTTCTTACAACAATAGAAGAATTTGTGCAGCAGATAAATAGGTTAATGCAGGTTATCAACAAGTTAAACATGTTTCAATCCAACATCAAACCCTTAAAGAAATCTGGGGATTTTATAGGCTGAAGATTGCTATCCTAATCCAATCACATCACAGTTTACCTTAGTCTTCAAGGTGATTTTTGAAGTTATAAAATAAAAAAGCTGAAAGAGCTTCTGACGTCTACGTTTATTTTTTACATTTTAAATCCACTCTCAGCAGGGTCAAGGGAGGGTTCAGGAAATGCATACAGAAGTMTGAAAAACCACTTTTATGTTCGTTCTTCTGGTTTGGATAAATATCATCGTGTGGCAACACAACCAACGCAAGCTTCACATTTAAAACTTGTTTAAAAAGATGTTTTTTTAAATCAAAGTTTCAGGAGTAAACAAAGCCCGTTGGTCAGTATCTCATCTGTGCAGTCGCTTCAACTCTTTGTTTCAGTTTGTCACACTGCCATTAAAAAAATTAAAAAATAAAAATTATTTTCCAAGTCCTGARCTGTTCCTTTWGGAGAGCCGCACTCCTTCCCTCCTGATAGTTTGTCTTTCTTCACATCAGAGCAGCTGTGATTTAAGCACTTTTTATTCCCSTCTCTGTGAAGCGTCCGGCGTGTTTCTGTGTGCCTGTGTTTATCTCTGCGCTGCCTTTGGTACCCTTTGATTTCCCTTAAGTCTTATGTCTTTTTTTTGTCATGTTCTGGTCTTCTGAATGCTTGCTTATGGGTGTTGTTTGTTTTCTCCCTCCCCCMCTGCCTCCTCCCCCATTTCTTCTTGATTTGCATGCCGTTCCTCCTGTTCCACACCTCCCTCCACAACTCCTCTCCCTGTGTGCTCAGACACTGCGCCCAGCACTGAACCTGCAGCTCATGGTTGGTATCTCTACTTTCTTCCTTTATGTCTGTTTTTTTTTCTGCACTGACGTGTTTGACCCTGCAGCATGCCCAGTGTTACTGTTGCACAGCCGAAATGTCAGCTGCCTGCTGTCGAGTTATTTATGGATTCTGCGAAGCCCACAGAGCCATCACTTGAAGGAATGCATATCACCCACTGCCTTTAGTGCCACACATTTAAACTAAAATCATCTTGTGCTGAGAGGGAGCAAAAACCTAATTTGGTCTGATCTAGTGAATTATGTGACGGATAATCTTGATCAACTTTATGGTTTGTTGTGATGAATGACTCTCAGCGAATTACCACATCAAATTTTAGCTCAGTATCTGAAAATTGAGTTAGAGCTAATTTTGTTGTGGCTAAAGTTGACCAGCTATGGTGGCCATTTTAAATGGAGTTGACACCAAAGATTAATTAGTGTAGATGTACACCCAATGACATATTTTGCTAACAGACACTGTCAACTCCAATGGTTATTGGCAAAGTTTTGGAAGCAGATCTCATGAACAGGATATGCAAATATTTAGAGCGAATATTTAGCTCAGTATTGGCACTTTTGCCTTCATTATAACCATTTTTTGTGTTTGAGAACCTCGATTAGCTGTGGCGGCCATCTTGAATGGTGCTGACTCTAAAAGCTGATGAGTTGTAAGAGGACAGGGTGAGTCAGAAGGCTCAGAATATCCTTTTTTTAGAAATAAAAGGGAAAATAAAATATATAAACACCCAAGTAAGTACTGGGCGAGGGGATCTATCTTCTAGGCTTTGTTCAGAACATGGCCACCATCTTGAAAGCTGGAATTTTGGCTCAAAGTCATTTTTTTCCAATGGGAAGGGGGTCTTCTAGCATATCAAAGAAGGCAAGAATTGTCTMAGAAATCAAYTACTGCAGTCAGATTTGCAATATCCCTTGTAATTMAAAAGTTACCAAAACATAAATTTGCAACAACAACCGTTGACATTGCCTGTTCTTTGATGTGTTTAATGTGCTGAACACAGACACACTCTGATTGCAGCAATAAATTTCTTTTACAGTTCTGTTTTTCTTTGTTATATGCCACATAACACCCTTCACGTTGGAAAAAGATTTGACTTGACAGCTTTCAAGATGGCAGCCATGTTCTGAACATRAACTAGAAGTTAGATCCCCTCACCTGTTAATTACTTGGGTGTTTAGATGCATCATTTTCCCTTTTGTTTCTAAATTAAAAGGCTGTCCTGGGACTTTTGACTCACTCTGTACATCTACACTTCATTAACTTGTTCGAGATGGCTGCCACAGCTAAGTGAGCTTCTCAAACACAAAAATGGTTAAAAAGAAGGCCAATGTGCAAATACTGAGCTAAATATTTGCTGAGAGTCATTCCCAATTTATACCCYACATACTTTCTGCTCATGAGATCTGTTTTAAAAGCCTTTCCAATAACTATTGGAGCTGACCGTCTGTCTAAAAGATAGCCCCCACCCCTCACCCATTACCTACTGGGGTATTCAGATATTCCATTTCCCCTTTGGTTCCTGAAATAAAAGGGTGTCCTGMGTCTTTTGACTCACCCTGCACATCCAACKATTGGTTTCTGAGAGCTTCATTAAAATCCAAACAGTGTTTCATGAGATATTTCCCTGAAACACACACTGACGTGCAAAGGCAATATTACCAATAACAAAAGGGCAAGCTGTTGATTTTGTGTTGAGTTTGTTCTGTCAGAAAACTTCACTGCAGAGCTCCAGTTTTATCATAAAGATTGTTTAATCCTCGTCGCCAGAGCAGCCCTGGCAGAGTGATTCGAGCAGCTAACCAATTACAGCGTTTCCCTGAAGGTGGCACAGAGTAATAAAAGCCACTCAGAGGACAGGGCTGATTATATCAACAGCATTAGGTTTGTGTGGAGGCAAAAATAGACCTCATTTACTTGTTTTCATACATTCGACTGAAGATGATACACATCATTTTCTAATTTTGCCTAATTTGCATCGCTTTCCCATTATTTTTTTGGCCGCCGTTCCATAATTTGCGCGAGCAGATTCACGGTCACACGTTTTCTGTTAATCAATGCGCTCGTTTTGCTCCATCTGAAATTTCAAAACTTACTTCACTCATTTGCTATAATGACCAAATTAGTGAGCTGCTGAGCAAAAATGAGCCATGGGTGTCTCGTAAGCTCCTGTTTGTTGCAATTTAGCTGCATGATTTCATTTAGCTACACGAACCATCCGAAGCTCCTCAAAGGTCAAGAAGCCAAACACGCTAATGAAATTAGCACACACAGACTCCTGCTTCTCCCAGATTATTATCTACACCCCCTGCTGTTTCTGCTCACACGTGCGGATTTTATTGTTTGATGTTCGAGACTCCGCCCCTTTTTCATAGAAAACTAGCATTCAAAGCAAGCAATATGCATTCCTTTAAGCCTTTATTCCCACAAGTTTTTATTAATTTGCATGTTTCTTTCTTAATTCCTCCAACATGTTTCACCAGTTCTCGTGCTGCACCTCCAGATCTCAGTGATGGGTTTAATTGCTAAAACAAAAGATAATTTGATTCGATTCCTGCAGCACAGGGATGCATAAATGTGCACATTAAGCAGGGAAAATCTAAAACGATTTGCTTCCATTACGGCTCAAGGTAGCACATTAATCTCAGCGTTTTACTGTAGTTGGAATTATCCTTGAATTAAATTAATTATTCTGTTAATTACTATTCGTTATCCTGTGCTGGGTGACATGACTTCCTCTGTCGGCAGTGGAGAAGTTTCCTTCCTGGAAGTGATGATGGAAGCTGGTGCTGAAGAGGCAACAGATGCTTTGTTCTCCTTTTTTGCAAGATGTCTTCTTAGCATTGATGAGTTTTTGAATGGTTGCCCCAGATGTTCTATCTCAGCCTTTAATTATTTTTTAATTGTTAGTAATTATTCGTAGTGTGGCGTCATAAGGATGAAAATTAAATTTACTGGTAGTTTTGTTGGATAATTTCAATTAAATGCAGTAAACTCTGGAAAGAGTCATTTAGAAGAGAATTTCCATCTGTTTTAAAGAAATTTTGGGATTTTAATAAGTTTCAAAGTTTTGTTTCTTTCATTTTTATTCTTTTWGATGATCCTTAAAGTGGACATATCCTGCAGAAATCCACTTTTTTAGCTGTTAAATATATTTTGTTTTATTCTTGGAGTCCCTAGCAGCAGAAAAGTTGAATTTAGTCTCCTCTTGGGCTGCAAATACTGTATATCTTTATATTTTGTTTGGGTCAGATTTTTCAGTCCATTCAGTTTTCTCTATTTTCTATGATGTTTTTGAACTGTTATGTCAAATAATCAGCTAGAGTATTACCATCTGGACTTCTGGTTCTGGGTCAGAATCTGGTTCTGGGTCAGACTCTGGCTCCAACATGTAAGGCTGGATGGACAAGTCTTCTGTTGTTGACATCTTTCRATATAAATGTAAATAAACTAAAGCAGAGCTGAAGGTTATTTGGTGCCATTACAGTTTTGTATTTGTGTCAAATGAACTTGCTTGAAGTTTGAAAATGTTTTCTGTCTGAGGCCGTCTCATCACAGGTGTCAAAATACAGAYCTGGTTTGGGGACGTCCATGTTGACTGTTATGAGAATAAATTAGTCAAACAAATTTATCAATGTTTAGTTCTATCTTATTAATTCCCAAGGGCAAACTCCTTGGTTACAAAGCTCTAAGAGACATACAAAAGAGAAATTAAAACACATCAGACAGATTGGCACCATGGTGGACCAGTGGTTAGAACCAAGGGCGTCATTTGCAGGGGTTTAGGGGGGATTATGAGTTAGGTAAATCACAGCAAAAGCATTAAAATATATTTTAACCCCAAAATATCCTGAATCATTTTACAGATAAATAAATAGGCAGAGAGCTTCACACCCCCATCCAATGGTAAACCTACAGTTATTCCCTTGGTTAGAACTGTTGCCTCACAGCAAGAAGGTCCTGGGTTCAAATGGGGTCAGGTCTGGGGTCTTTCTGTGTGGGGTTTGGATGTTTTCCTCATAATCCGGCTTCCTCCCACAGATAAAAACAGAAGATAAAAACACAGAACTTAACTACAGAAGAATTTTACATAAACCTGCTGGATGTGGCGCAGTATTGCTTTATTTTTAAGAAAATAAGGTGTCAGTTCTGCTCCCCGGGTTGAACATGAAATTATAGAAATAATTATATTGGTTGAAGCAGGAAGACGGTTCCACTGGAAGTGCTAAAAWAGGTTTTTCCAACCTGTCACCTGTTTGACTTTTTGCTTCATTTGTTTAAAGCTAAATGCTAATAGATTTATGCCGGGGGGGGGGGGGGGGGGGGGGGGGGGGGGGGGGGGGGGAGGGGGGTTGCCCACCGACAGTTTAAATCCAAAAGTGACGCAAAGGCAAAGAAATATTTGTTGAAATATTCTGAAAAGAGCTGAAGCAGACGGGCTGAAACCAAACAAACGGATCAGCGCCGGGATTGATGGAGATGAAGTGACATTAATATGCAAACAGACTGAGTGGAAGTTGATGATGGGTTCAGGTGTTGTATTGAGTATTTACATATAATTAACTCACTTCATCCTTTATTTTGTCTGATGATGTGGGTTTTAGTCGAAGAATCCAATGACTGGTTCTTTGTAACAGCTGACAAACCGTGAACTGTGAAACTCCTGTTGTTCTTTCCTAATGCAGCGATGAAGCGTACAACAAAAGGACACAAACAGAGCTCAACAAAGGTGTTTCTTTCATTTATCGCTCTGATTTTTTTCACTTATTGCAGCCTAGATGTTTTGCTAAAACAATACCTTATAAGTAAAACCACTTTATAATAATCCTCATGTATTTTCTGCCGACTTTTAATACCAAAACCTGGAAATGTATTATCTCAAAACATCCATTGTCTTTACTTGCTTTTTCCTTTGAGCTGAAAACAGAGAAGACAAAAGCTCTTTTCTGTCCCCCCCGGAGAAGTTGGGAACAAACAAACCT